AATATATTTCAGATTATCCATGCCAAATTTTTGTCATCAATCACCACTAATCGAGGAAACTTGGATAATATTTTCTTTTTCCTCCCCTTTTCCATGCTATCAAACATGGCCTTAGAATAAACAAGTACGGGTGTTTTAATCATCAACAACTCAAATACTCAAATGTTCTTCTCGAGGCAAGCTTTGAACAGTATCTGACCATCTTCCTGGTGAATGGTCACTACTATTAGAAGATAGTTGAGCTTTTGCTCTAGCCTCTCTAATCATCGTTAAAACCTCCCCTGCAGCAGGACGGTTTTCTGGTGCAACAGAAATACAAGCCACTGCAATTTTCAGAAGTGCGCTGAGCTTTTCCTCTGAAGTTTCATTGCTAGATGATGTAGGGTCATCGCCTGACTCTGTCTCTTCTCCACGTACTGATCGCACCCATTTAGGGATATCCGAGCCGTATTCTTCAACATGGTCTTGGGAAGGAGTCTTTCCTGTCAGGAGCTCGAGGAGAAGGATGCCAAAGCTATAGATATCAGCTAGTTGTGTTAGTGGCCTTCGCACATCACGACATTCGGGGGCTCGGTAAAAGTGGGAAGAAGCACTCGATTCCTCAACGGAATCTATGTTTCTAAAAGGTGTTAGACCGTAATCTGTGAGACAGGACTCGAAATCCGACCCCAAAAGTATGTTTGACGATTTTAAGTTCCCATGAGTTAAACCAGGGTTCTGATGGATATAAAGCAGTCCAGTTGCCAAATCCTCTGCTATTTTAAGGCAGGATGTCCAATGAAGAGGCTTTGAACCACCTGAAGCTCTTGATCCTGCAAAGTAATTACAGTAATTGTTCGTGAAGGCAGAATTATTGAAACAGCCTAAGACATGCCACGTTTCGTCTTTGATCGGGAATTTACCATTCATTTCTCATAATACTAGCATAATTGACAATCTTGATATAAGAAGTAAATTTGCAAATAATCAGAACTTCATTTCACTCTATTAGATTCCACATTTCCAACTCAGATATAAAGATGAATGCATTTTTTTCCCATTTTTTCCTTACCTTTTACCTCCAACAAAGTTGAATATAGTTTGAATAGATAACAAGTTTGAAAAGAAGGTCCACCGGTTTCAAGGCTTCTTATGGAATCTCCTTCGAGTTCAAAGTTGAATGCTTGTAACATAACTTGTTCTTAAAAGTTGAAACCAGAAAACTAATAATTTTTTATTTTCAATCTTTTGTTATCTAATAATTTGCTTTTTGACAGTGAATTCCTAGTCAATCAATTTGATAACTGCTATAGATCAAAAAAGAGGTCGTCAAGGCAAAGACATCACAAATTCAACCAGGTAAAACTGTACAAGTACTAAATGCATTCGAATTGAAGTGATATTTAGTAATCCTTACTGTTCAGTTCATTTTGGCGAACCACGTCTATGGTTTATGCTGGAGGTGCACATAGCTAAATTTCAAATTCTCTTGCAAGTAATATCTGTAAACAAACTACATTACTTTATATATTACTTGGTATCTTCTTTAAAAGTTTTGAAGTAACATATCCTGAACATAACAGGTTTAAGATGAAAGTCCACATGCACATGAACCAACGTTGAGATTTTTTTCTCAAACCTATACTAATTACTCCCCAGTGGGGTTGAGTTGGGAACTTGTTGCAATCCCAATTCAAGTAATTCATTTGCTAAACTATTTTCATCTCCCCACTAAGCAAAACAGTACGAGAATAAGACAAAAAATGCTCTTCTTGCAAGAATTGAGGAACCATTAGCCAGAGGGGAATGGAATATGAGGGCATAATGAGAAAGTTACTAAAACTTCTTCATAATTTACTAGGCATGCTATAATTGGTCGGAGCTCATACCAACTATATAAGGTGAAGGAAATGAGCATATAAGGAAGTGACAGAATTGCTGTTAAAAGCCGACTCAAGTAAAAATTTTACTTCACAAAACGCCAGCTCAAAATGGAAAATACACCCTTCAGTTAGCTGCTAAGAGACATTAGGTGACGCTGATGCTTCAAGAGACACAACTGTTCAACAGAAATAAGTTTAATGCATGATGACAAGGACCATTTGAAATGGTATTTATTGGATTCCTAAGGCATTGGAAAACAAATATCTTATCGAAATTAAATTGAGGAAAAAACATTATCTATAGCAAGTGAACTGAAAAGGTTTGACCTGGAACATATAGGATGAGAAATAAAAAGTGAACAAGTCATACATTTACGCAGGGTTGCATTTTGTTGAATATTTAACTGATGTGACCGAAGACTGAGTTATATCGTCACTTATTGCGGTAGACAGATTGAGTAAAAAGATTAATCCCCGTCGAAATTCAATCTTGCAAAAGATGAAAAATGAGTAGGATTCTAAGTATCATCCGTAAATGAAATAATTACAGTTTGCGACAAAATGTATATTATAAAGAAGTATCTAGAACAGATCATATTGATTTGTGAGTTATCCATGCATCCAACACAGACTAGGAGAAAATTTCCTAAATTAGCCCATCTATGTAAGAACTTCATATATCTTTGATGAACATCTTGCGATTTGTTTTGGGAAGCATATAAGGTCCTATTGCAATTCAACATTAGATCAGAAGTTCCCTTGGCAGTGATCAGGAGAAACACTTCATATGTGCAATGAATAATGTCCAATTTATATATAAAAGAAACTAAAAAGGTCGAAACATCATGCAAAAACACACACTACAAAGCAATAAATGTAGGCTTATATGTTATACACGGAAGGTAAAAATACAGACGATATCTGAAAGAAAAGAACGTACCGTGAATGAGAGTGAAGAGACTGCCATTGGGAAAATAATCATACACAAGCAGGCGTTCTTCCCTAGCCTGGAAATAAGCCCTGAGTGGAACAAGATTGGGATGCCTTAACCCCCCAATAATTTCAATATGTCGCCTGAACTCCTCCATCCTCGGATACCTAGCATCCTTTAGCCTCTTAACAGTAACAATGTAACCCGACTCCATCACTGCTTTGTACGTGCTCCCCATGCTCCCCCTACCCAACGTCTCAGCTGAAGCCTTCAACAAATCCTCCAAACTAAAGCTCATTTGCTGATCGCCTGGTCCAAGGAACACCAAACTCCCTGGTCCTTCACCCCCTTGGTCCCACGAGAATACTCCTTGTTTTCCCCCATCATCACCGTCCCTACCCGCACTTGTAGTCCCTTCATCAACTGCTCGTGCGACCACTTTACTCTTTGTCTCCTCTTTCTTTCTTCTCTTCCTCAAACATGCAATCAGAAGTATAAGTAAAATGCACAACACAAATCCACCAATACATGAAACACTTACAACAATAAGCTTCTTATTCCTCTTATGATGCCCCGATTTGTTAGTGGGCGGGATTGGATATGATGGACCAAAATTACACGGTTTTTGAATTCGATCACTGCATAAATCAATGTTACCTCTGAATGAGGATTGATTAAACCTAACCAATGAATTGGTCACAGGGATTTCACCAGAGAGTAAATTATTAGACACGTTAAAGAATCTTAAACTAGTCTGATTAAAAGGTGGAATATCACCAGTCAATTGATTATCCTGCAAATAAAGAACATATAATCTGTTCGTAACAGCGAAGGACAGAGGAATGTGACCGGATAGTCTGTTACCAGAAAGAACCACAACTTTCAGGCGGTGAAGGACTGAAATCCCAGCCGGGATTTCACCGGAAAACTTATTATCATTGAGGTAAAGAGATTTCAGATTTGCTAGGCCAGAGAGTTGTGGAATTGACCCAGAAAGAGAGTTGTCTTTAAAGCTCAAAACCCTAAGCTGATCCAACTGATTCAGGCTTTTCCCATCCAGAGTGCCACTCAAATTTAGTCTTTCAATCACAAGCCTAATGACCCTTCCATTCATGCATTCTTTAACCCCTTCCCACCTGCAGAAATCAGTTCCCCTTCCCCATTGAAGAAAACCCAATGGGTCGATTACAACCTTTAATGCAAGAAGTGCATCTGCATCTCCTGATCTTACTTGTGGGAATGCAACGAATAACAATAATGAGAACAAGAAGAGGTCTGAGAAACCCATTGATGGAGTTTAATAAAGGCAGCTCTTTACTATATATAATAATGAGAACAAGAAGAGGTCGGAGAAAACCATTGATGGAGTTTAATAAAGGCAGCTCTTTACTATATATCAAAAATCAAATCTTGATTTCCACATTAAAAGGCAGACAAATGGTAATCAAATCAAGAAGAAATGGGGCTTTGATGAGCAAAAATGCTCACAGAATGTTGAAGGCAGGCTGGATGCTAAAATAGAATCCAAAAGACATTTGGCTTTTCTGTCTTTGCTTTTAAGATAATCACTTTCATCATGAGAAACCCATCTCCAGAGCTAGCACTTTCAAAAGAGGGTATGATTTACATGAAATGACAGGATTAATATTGTGTTTGTATATCATTGGGTTGGGGCCCCCAATTAGTGTCTATCAGCGCCTAACGTTTGACCAATACAATAAAATGTTTTACAAGAAAAGAAAACACCGACGCAACACCCAGAAAACAAAACAAGCTTAGAAGCAAAATTTATGTAGTAACAAAAAACTATTCTTCTTCTTCTTCAACAATGGAGTTGCAGCAGAACCCAGTTTGTCTCTCTGTAAAAAGAAGTGAGGAGGCATTAAATATTTCATCAAAATTTTCAGTTTCTCTCTCTAAGATGCGTGTGCATTTAGTTTTTTCATCAACTTCTTTTGCTCACGGACATATGGGTGAAGCTTCACGTGAAATCAGCTCAGAGCAATATATTTTTTTATGGTTTCTTAAGACAGACAATGATTCGTGTGTATAAAATAATTTCTGTTCAAACTTCTATGCTAGTACAAGACATTATATGAACACATCGGCTGCTAAAAACATTTATTTTTTAGGACTCCAACCCAAAGCATTGGATCCATCCCATCCCATGCTTACCAACCAAACAATCAATATAGTGTAGAACAAAAATTTGCAGCCATGCCAGAATGAATCTGGTATTTCTATTCTTGGAGAAAAAAATATTATAAGGAAATCGAGAATGCAAATACAAAGACGTGTAATTCTTTTTAGCAAAAACAAGATTTTGTATTATTAATAATAATAATATAATTAATCAATATTCAATAAGAAAATATTTAATGTAATGGGTGTGGTGGGGTTTTTGAGTTTGGTTAAGCCGATGAACTTTTCATTTCTATTTTCCTTTTCTTTTTTATTTGAGGGTATATAATAAGTTGAGGACCAATTTATGCAAGTATTTCTTATAGAATCAGTTCCAAATTGATATGCAGAAACTTTTGGAATTTTAATTTATTGCTAGTACCCTAACTCCGCACACAAAATTCATTCGATAAGATTAAGCAAATCAAGATTTGATATAAAATGAAGAAATGTGTATTTGAAAGTTGTGAATCTCATAAAATATGTGATCACTGACGGAGGTAGAGGGGACCCGAACCCCACCAAATTTTTGACAACTTTTTTTTTTATTTTAAAATTTTATTTTTTGGTTCTTTTTATTACTGTGGTAATAACAGAACTTTGCAGGTTGTGTAAATATTCCTNTTCAAAGTATGAGAACTAGAAATGAACATTTGTAATAAAGTATGATTTTACTAAATTAAATATTAGTACTTTCTTTTTATATGTTTTTTGATTTTTTTGTTAATAAGGTATCAAAAAAAAAAAAAAATTCGGGAGGCAGGGCCCCCCATCCCTTCATCTATATATCTTCAATTCTGGGACCCCCCGACTTCAACAGCTAACTCCACCCCTATGTGTGGTTAAAATTAAACTGTCGCTTTGACTTGATTTTTAATTTAGTTTTTTTTAGCTCAAACAAACATGAACTCACTATCGTATTGGATAAAAGTTTTAACCCATTTTCCGTTTCGCTTACACTTTACCATCGACTAAAGGTTGGTTTTCGATGATACATAGATCTGAATTTGGAATGAATTTATAAAATCTAATGATTTGGGGACAAAAAGGAAATATTTTAATTAATTCTTAGTCGTAAATAATGAAAAAAAAAAATCAAGCATTGACTTCAATTAGTTGACTTGCACATTTACAGAATCACGGGACAGCGACCAAACATTCACATGCTTTTTGAAACTTAAATTCATTTCATTTAGAATATGGTGAACCATATTTATTTAAGATGCAAATAATTCATATATTTTACTTAACTTAGAGCATCTTCAAAATGCTCTCTATTTTTAAAGAGCACATTTTACAATTTATAGAGTATCTATAAATTTAAAGAGTATATTTTTTCTAAGTATTTTACCGTATTCTTTATGATTCCCTTGCCAGCCTTTGTTTGAGCCCCATTTTATCAAAAATTCATTTTTAAGTACATATTCTTAAATAAAATAATACCATACGTAAATAGAAAAAAATTTCTTAATTTTTAACTACATATTATCCAAAAATTGCTATTCAAAAATATTTTTTCTCTCAAAATGGAACGGAAACAAAGGCTAAAAATTTGGCTTTGCTGTATGTACATCAGGTTTTAACCTTGATGTACAAATAATAAAATTTCTAAAAAAATCTAACTCTGGTGTACAAATAGCAAACCCGTAAAAGTTTTTATCCTACTCCAACAAGTGAAGTGCCAATTTTAACTCTGTTAGATACTTAGATTGGTCGGGGAGCAAGTTAGATCTGAAAATGGTTGGCAAATCTAGGGTGGACCCCATCTCACACGCACGTTACAGGTCACTCATGTAGTACTGCTGCCTTTTATAATCATAGCTCATTCATTACATTATGGGCCCTACCTTACAGGGTTGTTGAGAAGTCTTTATAGCCAAGCGAACCAACCTCCTATTCATTGCTTCAAATTGAACTAAAATTTAAAAGAAGCCATGAATTGCCCTATGAAGACTTGCTCTTGTTACGATAGATTTCCTTAATCAAGCCACTGTCTGAGTCGTCCGCTATAGATAAAAGAATTAAGCTAGTTTGCCCCGAATTGATTTGTCCATCTGATTGACCTAACCTCACATGAGTGTGAGATCGACGTGAAACCCGCATGAAATGAAAAATGAAAAAAAATGCTTCCCTCTCCTAATGCGTGTGTTCTATCATGGAGGGTGTGACACCCCCTTAACGCTGCAGCTCGGTTCATACATACTAGACTAAAGATCCGTTTGGTAGAACTTTTGCTTCTTATGAAAGAATTTCTTGAAAAACTTATCTTATGTCAACTTTCTTTAAAATTTCTTCTAGTCAAACATAGCACTTTCAAAAATAAAGGTGCTGGAAAATGGAGTTATGAGGACCGACCCAACCCGCAAGCATTAATGAAGGTATGGAAAGAGTAATTAAAGTTGAGATTCAAACTTCTAACTCCGTCAAACTTTTCTCAATGCCCTACAAGAGAAAGAAACTACAGATGATGAAAATAAATAGAAATTCGTACACAAACATGCACCAAAACTTGAAAGGGTTTCATATTTAATTAAGTGTGAGAGGCACTAGGATTACGGAAATAGAACCCTTTAAATTTAAATTGGGTTTTATCCCACTGTAATACAAGAAAGTGCAGATATGGAGTACATTGACAATTCTACTTCAAAGTAAGAAATTCTTGAATGGAATTTCAATTATTGTATGTAATATATCAGAGCCTATAAGGTTGATATCCTAGCACTATTCCGTGTACAAAAATGGTATTGCAATGTCCAAGTGTTGTGAATCGTGTATGTAATTTTGAGTGATTTTCGGTAGAACGAACCCATTATGAGGTTGAATAAATAGCATATTGTACAACTTAGCTAGCTAAACAGCATCATTGATGATTTTCCGAATGGTTGCAGCAATTCCTGTGACACTAATAGTATCAATATCCTACATAACTATAGCTATTTTGTAGGAGAAGATTGTTACCTGACAGTTCGATTATCGACCTGTTCCATCGCTGCTTCTGTTCTTAAATTATTTTCCCATAGCATCTGAGACAAAATGAACTATTTCTTTTCAACTTGGATAAGTTATAACCATGTTTGTCCCGCATATCACTATCATTATCAGGATCAACAAATCAAGCTTACCACATGTTTCATCTACGAAAGAAGGTGAAGCACTGCGTCCTTTCTCCAATTGATTGTACCACCAGAAGTTACATTGGCATACTCCTAAGGAGAAGAGAAACAAGATATCTTGAAATTGTTCAATGTTAAAATCATCAGAGAACTTTTGCTCTACTGGTTCAGATATGTAAATCATGAATTACAGAAGAAAGGAAATATGTTTCATGCCGTCTATAGAATTTGTAAGCCAGGATTCCATCCAATGGAACTTACTATGTATCATAGGATGGTTATCAAAAAGTTTTTCTGCTATATTATGGTGCGTGACTACTTATGAACACTTAATACATTTGATTGCAGTAGCTGGGACATGAACTCCTGTAAGCAGCAATGAATCAGAGGTACAAAATAGATTCAACACACATTTTGAATATAAAGCTTAGTTTGTTTTTGTTGCTATATCAAGGATACGGACCTCAAGTGCTAAAAAAAACCTATCAAAGAAGGAGGAATCTTATAATATGAAATGGAAAGTTAAGAATCTGATAGAACCCCAAATTACTAATTTGTTCAAATGTCAATTATGCAAAGGGTATCGTGGGGATTAATATAATAACTTGTACAGGCTGTTGCCTATAAATAGGTGGGCAATGTTTCATTTGGGGCATGCAAAATATTGAGTAGTTGGCTGAGCCAAGTAGGAGAGAATCCAGGGCTCTCGAATGCCTTGGAATTGTTCAGTTCATTTCAATACAATAATCAGTACCAATCCGTGTTCTTCTTACATTTATAATCCACAGCGGCAGTGGATCCTATCAAATTGGTATCAAAGCATCGATCTTAGGGTAATGGCAACAAATTTCAGTAAAGAATTGCAGGAGAGTTGGGGTTCTATATTTGATCGGCTGGACTAGATGATAAGGCGGCTAGAAGAGGGAGACCGAGAAGCGGAGTTAGGATTGGATTCACAAGGTCGACTGAAAACATCAATATTCCCGTGGTTGTTTAGGGCGAAGCAATATCTAGCCACGAACCGTACATTGTCGGAGAGGGAAAAGGTTGAAGCTGCAGTTGCGTGCTTTGATGGAGAGGCATGGGCATGGTTTCAATGGATAGAAGATCACCGTGATACCGCCCAATACAAACCTGGGAAGAATTGAAGGCCTCAGTATCGGCTCGGTTTGGTGGGAATGATGTCTTCATTGGGGAAGAAATTCCAGCGGAGAAGCGTTGGGATGTGGAAAACGTGGAGACAGCAGTTGAAGAACATTGGTTTCAATTGGAGGGGTACCCAGCGCAATCACCATTGCTGGAGGAGGAGAGATCTGCGCGTGCGGTGAAGGGCATGTCGCTGAAGTTGGAGAAGAAGAAAAAAGGGAAATTACAGGATTTTATGGGGTTTGGCCTTGACAGGAAGGTGGCCCAACAAATGGAATCCATTTGTTTTAATAATCAAGACAGAGGAAGAATGGGCCTAAACAAAGTAAAGGTAAAGGGCCAAACAACTAATTACAATTCTAGAAGAGGAAATTAGGCCCTATACCCTTTATCTAACAGTGTTTTGATTTATACCCTTAAACANAAGTAAAGGTAAAGGGCCAAACAACTAATTACAATTCTAGAACCTATTACATTCCGAGTTCGAGCCCGAGTTATACCCATCTAATACAATTAGAAGACAGAGAGAAGAACTACGAGCTAGGAGAAATAGTCGAACTGGGATGGGTCCGAGGAGGCAAAGGTGTAGAAAACAGGATTTATAATTAATTCGGTGTTTGGAATGGTGCAAAAGACAAAAACAATGCAGATTGCACAAAAAGAAGAGATCGTGATGCTCATCAATTGTGGTACTATCCACTTTTGTATTCCGTTTGGCCGGGTTCATTTTTTAGAAAGCTCGCAAAGGGGTGCGACTGGTTATGGAATTTTCATGGATAATATACTACTCGTAGTTAATCAGCCAAATTCTTCGGGTTGAGATATCCTTTTTCTGCTCTGGTCGTGATGGCCCTAGCACAGGAAATAGTTCGATTGTACAGAATTTTGGAAATTGACCATGTTTTTCACCTTGAGCCTCTGTTTGATACACATTAAAATTTTCATTCTCATTCTTCTACTCATTTTCAACCACACATTTTTCAATAAAATAATATTTTCCATCACATCAATAATTTTTCCTCCTTTTTCAACCACAAATTCTCCATCAATCTACTATTTCAGAATACATTCTTCCAAAATAATGTGGATCAAACACACCTTGAGGACAAGGTGAATTTCAAGGGGAGGGTATTGATAGAACCCCAAATTACTAATTTGTTCAAATGTCAATTATGCAAGGGTATCGTGGGGATTAATATAATAACTTGTATAGGCTGTTGCCTATAAATAGGTGGGCAATGTTTCATTTGGGGCATGCAAAATATTGAGTAGTTGGCTCTGCCAAGTAAGAGAGAATCCAGGCCTCTCGAATGCCTTGGAATTGTTCAGTTCAGTTCATTTCAATTCCAGTTTCATTTCAATACAATAATCAATACCAATCTGTGTTCTTCTTACATTCATAATCCACAGCAGCAGAGGATCCTATCAGAATCTATGGTATGATCCACTGAAATTATAAACTCCCAATTTAAACAAGTATGACTAAATCTCACCTATCCATATTAGGCTATTAGCTCTAAACCAGAGTATTGAATAAGTTGCAACATCAAGTCAATAAACTGCCACAGTTCATGCTTATGTTCCAAGGGAACAATAACCCAAATTTCACGTAGTAGTTGCCTAGTTAAAAAAGGTTAATTACGCTCAGGTTCACGACCTAGTTCAGATGAAACCACAAACTGCATGAAGCAGTTGCCTAGTTAAATGGTGCTAGATCAAACCAATTTACTCCCCAGCAACCACACACTTCATATTTTGACCCTTCTTTAAGTTAAACTTTACAGCAACTATATGTAAAGTAATTATTCAACTTCCAAGCATCAAAACCAGTGGTTTACATGCAGCATAGTTAATGCAACTTAATCAACAATCATGCATTCAATCTCACATAGTGCATATAGTAAATAATATCTCTTCCATGGAGACTTGATCTGATGTTTTTCCTTATGAGATAAACTGTTGAATACATATTTATCAGTTTTCAGCAGAGATATGACAAAAACAGTTTATCCTAAAGGCTATAGAATCAATTAGGAGAATTAGGACACTTGCCAATAGATGAGCATTTCCAACTGAAGCAGTGGCCAGAAGTTAATCTCCATCAATCAAAAAACGCTTTTTGTTGAGTTGAAAAAACAAACAGAGTTCATGTACTGTTCGCGAAAAATATGCCTTGAACTCTGTCCATCATTGCTGTATATGCAGCTACATCTCCCCCTGGCAACATCAAATACCACCCAATAAATTAATTAAATTAAATTACTTGCATAATATACGTGTATACATCTTAAAACTTTTGATGCCTCCAAAAATACCAAGAACTTTCTCTGTTTACAAAGGTAAAGCGTTAAGTTTTTGGAATAACAATGTTGGAGTATTTAGGTATTTTAGGAGCTTGTTACTAGGAAGATTTGCTGGGATAAACTCATTATAACTAGTTATTTCTCTGTTTTTTGTCAGTTACATACTTACAATTTTGTAAGTTGTTGTAACAGATCCTAGATATGGCTCATACTAGCCCTAATTTGCACACCTATCCTATTCTTATTTTTTTCTCGTTGAATATAGAAAAATGTTCATGGTTTCCAAACCTGGTTTCATGCTATTAGAGTACTCTGTGATCCTAAAGTTCTTCCATTAGTTCTATTTCTTCCACAAGTAACATGGGAAGAGAGATCCGAGAATAATTCTTAATAGCCTCTGAGGTTGATACTGCAGATTTTAACAAAACTCATGGCTTCAGATCACAATTTGTAAGTTGGATGAGCAGAACTGTCTGCAATGGTCTCAATTCCAGAACATGTTTATTTATGGGAAAGAAAAGTTTGGTTATCTTATCCATTCCATAAAGCATCGAAATTCAAGAATTAGTTGGAGCTTCAAGCATGGAAAGCAGAGAAGTTCATAGTTATGGCAAGCTGGCCAACTCGATGGAACCTATTATTGGCCGATCATAGCCCTTCTTATCAAGAGCAAATGAGATATGGGATGTTGTAGCTGAAAACTGCTTGGACTTGGGAAAACCAGGTCAAATGTTAAAACCTGCAATCGTGATATGGAACAAAGGAGCCAAAGTGGAATACATATTACAGCATGTTAAAGGAGCTATGGCAGGAACTACACAAGTATATTGATGCTGCATGGGAGTGTGCGATAACAAGATGCTAGAAAAGGAACGGGTTTTTTCTTGCAAGACTCAATTCAAAATACATGAAGGGGTAGACTACTTGGAAAGCACCTCTCCCTTGTATTCGTTAAGCGTTCCTATGTTGTGGGGAAGAGAGCATGAATGTAATGAATGAAGACTGCAATGAATCAAGGCATACCACAGAAAAATTGCAAAACGAGAAAACACAAAGTTATGTGAGAGAAGCTAGCTCTAGAAGATCAGATTCAAATTTTTCACAAAAGAACAAGTAGAGCTACTGCACATATTTACGAATCAGATAAAAATATGTCAAATCTTACACCCTCTTGTTTTTTAGCCCCACAAGGCAACTTTTCTACAGCCTCAAGTGTTTATATTAGAAACAAAAAAACACCTCTTGGACCTGCCACAAGGTCCCAAGGAATCTTAAGGTTGCGGAGAAGTTTGCATGCTAAGGAGATCTCTTTATAGTAGCAATCCTAATTTCCAAGGTATGAATTGACAGTTTTATACTCCCAAATCTCTTTGCTTATTAATCTTGGCCACTTCAGATCCCAGATCTTCTATCTATTTTGACATTGGTTCACCTTCTTTACAGAGAGCATCCCCAAAAAGGCCAACAAACAGCATGGAGTCCTCATACTGTCCTGGAGCACCATTTTACAGTCACCGTATTTTCCTATGTGGTTACTGGGTTACCCGCTACAGATATTTAACAAGTTTTTAAGTACTTACCATGCTTCCGATCAAGCTTCCATTTAAAAGATAGAGAAGTAATTAAAATACTTAAGAACACATGGATACGTGATATACATTAACAAATATAAAGGCATGCCTTGTAAATAGCAAGGCATATTATCTATACAAATCGGAAATATGTTTTCCCAGGCATGCTTGCAAAGTTATTGTTGGCAGAATAGCAGTAACAGAGTTGAAGGAAATAGAATCAAAAGATTGTACTTGCAAGACTATAAGACCAATTTGAAATATGATATAACCAAATAATATTCAGAACTTAAATCTAGATGATATACAGTGATTGCAGGGCAAAGAAGAAGAAGCCAAAAAGCTCAGCATAACTCACCGCAATTTGGAGATGAGAAGGTCTGAAAGGAAAAAAGCTTGCAGCTTCTTTATGCAGAGCTCTTACGCTTCATTCCAAGACAGGAAACTCAAATTATCACAATGAATACAAGGTCTAGAAATGCTTAGTTTTGCACATTTTGTGCAGAACATTCACTTGTGACGGTAACAAGGCCCCTTTTCATCATTTCATTTTGCAAGAAATTAGCTTCTTCGACATTTCCAAGCTCATGATACTTTCTGATGAGACAACCATACACAACCTCATCAGGATGGACTCCTTTTTCAATCATCTCATCAAGCAAATCCCTTGCTTGCTGCACTTGACCATTTCTAGAGAGCCCAGAAATCAAGGATGTATAAGTATGAAGATCCAGCTCCACACCTGTTTCAATCATTCTCTTCACCAGATCCAAGGCTTCTTGAACATTTCCCTGCTTTAAGTTTCCATTAATCAGCGATGTATAAGCAATTTTATCTGGAAGCATGCCCTTATCAAGCATTTCAAGAAAAAGCTCTTGAGCGGCATCCAAATGTTTATTTTTGCAAAGGCCATCAACTAATGCTGTATAGGCCACAATATTAGGTTGCAAGCCAATGCTTTGCATGTTATAGAAATGATCAATTGCTTCCTCAACACATCCCAATCCACACAATCCATCAATCAATGAGCAATATGTCACAATAGTAAGGGCCACACCTTTTTCTTGCATTTCATTTAGCAGTTTTCGTGCTTCTGTGGCTTTGCCAGCCTTGAAGTATGCGTCAATTAGTGTTGTATATATTACATGATTCAACTCTCTACCGCGCGCCTGCATTTCATCAAGCAAAACTTTCACATCTTCAAACTTTCCCTGGTTGCAAAGGCCCCAGACTATAGTTCCATAGAGCAACAAATCAAGTTTAATCTTATTTTCACTCATTTGTGTCATAACATCCATGGCATCAGCCATCCTTTCTGCTTTAACATACCCATGAACAAGAGCTGTATAGCTTTTCTCATTGGGGACTACACCATCTTTCTGCATCACCCTAAAAACTTCTTCCGCTTCCTTTATCTTCCCTTCTTCACATAATCCATCAAGCAACGCCGTGTAGGTAACAACATTTAACTTGACGGCTGCTTCCAACATCTCTTTGACCAACTTCAGAGCATTGTCTAGATTACCCACTTTACAATTTGCGTCAATCAAAGAAGTATATGTAAATTCATTTGGAGTAAGACCAACTCTCCGCATGTCAACAAAAAATTTAATTGCCTGTGGCAACATTCCTTCTTTACAAAAAGCATCTATGAATGTGCTATAAGTTACAACATTAGGTTTCAGACCTCTTTGTTTCATCTCCCGGAGAAATCCAAATGCCAGGGGCATCTCTTCAAATTTACAAAAACAATTAATCAAAGTATTGTATGTTATGACGTCCGGAGAACAGCCTACTGCCTGCATTTCCTCATATATACAAAGCATATTATCCAATTCTCCTAGCTTCCCATGCCCATCAATTAGGGAATTATATGTAATAACATCCGGAATAATGCCTATCTCCTTCATCCTTGCAAACAGACATGTAGCAGCCTTCATATCACCTTCATTACACATATAACCAATCATTATATTATATGTATACACAGACGGTTCAATTCCAGCCCCAACCATATCTATGAAGCACTTCTTCGCCAACTCTCCTTCCCCAGCCTTTGCAAGTCCATGCAAAAGAAAATTACAAGAACAGGTTTTTGGCGGCACTCTAAACCTTATCATCCTCGTAAAACACTCCCTTGCTTCCTCTAGTAATCCCACCTCAACCAACACGCTAAAGAAAGCATCAAAAACTCCATAACCCGGAACACAAACATTTCTTGTCAACCACAATGCATCAAATATATCACAAGGAAATATTTTTATCTTACTGTCATTATTGCTTTTATTCAAACTCACCACTTGTCTTAGAACATTATGGGCATCGTTGTACATTCTTGAACAGAACAAAATATGAGCCATGACACAATAATTTTCTGTGGTATGCTGAAACCCATTTTGTATTTGGGCCCACTTGAATAACTTGAAAGCTAATCTAGGTTCCTGTTTTAGTTCAATTAAGATTCTGGACACCCAAACAGGAGCTAGAGCTGATTCAAAGCAACCCACTATCCTAAAATCATCCCATTTCTCTTCACTTATAATTTTCCTCATCGATTCTTTATCAAAAAATCGGTCAAAACTGCTAAGATTTGCTTTTGTGGAGTATGGGTACCCAAAAAAACAGAAAAAATAAGATACCCGTAAAAGGAAAATGTATGAAATTGAATTACCAGAAGCAGTAGATTTGGACGTGCTTACGATATGATTATGCAGGTTTCTTAGTCTGACGCCCATAAGACTGCGGAATAGAAATAACATGGCTACAAAAAAATGTAAGGAAACGTGTAAAAAGAGTAGCTTCTTTAGACATTGACTTCAGTTAAATCAAGAATCCGAACATTCATTGGTATCTTGAGAAAGAAGAGATATTTACTACAACACTATGTATTATTTTACATCTCCTTCAGGGGAGATTCGAAATGGCGGGTTCGGTGATGGAGAGAGGGTTTAGGGTTTAGGCAGTAGTGCGAGCTCGCGATGAAGAGCAATGGTAAGTGTTCTCTCACTCAGCCATGTTTGGCTCCATTTTTATAAAAACCCTCTTTCTTTTTTTTTTCTTTTTTTTTTTTTTAAGTTAAAGTTGATTTTCAAACTAGATGTTCTCCTCTAAAATAATTTTACACGTAAATCACAAAAAATTCTTACTTTTATTCATGTTCTCCAACTTGTTATTATTCCAAAATAAATTCTCTTCGAAAAAAATGGAACCCAAACAAGGCTCGGTGTGTTAATCACTACAATATAAAAGAGTCAAAAATCTTGGCACCACGTGTCACTATTTCCTGTCGTCGACATAATTTTAATATTTTTTTTTCTTTTGATTTTTTTCGTTCTTTTGTAGATCGATATATCTATCTCTCTTTTCATTCATAAACTAAACCAGAACCTAGAATTTCAGAACTTTACGAACTCAGAGAAACCAGACCAGAATACCAGAACTTCGTATCTTTATTCCGTTCTTTTAACCTGTTTCTTTTTGTGTGTTTGATCCGAACCCGCAATCTTTATCCCTCTCTCTTGCACAAACTTTGCATAGAGAAACATCAACATAAGTTTTCACACATTCTCGGCCTTTCAATTTTAGAATTTCAGTTGTGTAGCGATTTCGATCTTCGTTGAGGTTGGGTATCCTGTTAGGTCCAATTTGCCTAGAATGTAATCTTGTAACAAATTATATAGTATTTGTTTTCTTTTTAAGTTTCGTCGATATGGATAGATGTTAATTGATACTGATTTAGTGAGTTTGGGATTTCTTCGAGGTTTAGGTACTTGGACACTTGGGCTTTGTTTTAAGTTTTATGGTTAGTCACTATTGGAATTTTAGATTTGGGGTTATCCTTCAAATTTTTTTGACTTTTCCGTTCTTCAAACAAAATGGGCAAATTTAAGTTTTATTGCAACAAATGAAACGTTCCATTCAAACTTGGAAAGGATATTCAAGATGATATTTAAGATGAATTGTATATATACTTTTTTTCCCAAGGGCTTCCTCTCGGCAATATTTTGATTTATAAATTTTTTTCACTTTCTGTATAGGATGACAGATGTATTCTTTGTTAATGAATTTAGCAGAGTGGAATTCTTAATCTTTGTAGTCGAATTTTAGTTATGCTGCATTGTTTTCTTACATTTTATTTTGTTTTTATTGTATATAGTTTTTTGGGTTATGGATACTGTTGAGGGTGGTGCTGTTGAGGTTGGTGTTGGAGGTTGTGAGCTAGAAAAGAAGCGTTGCCAAGCGATATATGCTCAATTAAAACAATCTACTGATGCATGGCGTAGAGAATTGTACGCTCAAGCACGACAATTGCGTAATGTATGTCGAAACAATTTTATGCTAAAAAAAGAGTGCCTAGAACTTCACATTATCTGGATTCAGTAGAAGATGGTAGTTCTACATGTAGTGCTTTAGGAAAACCATTGTTACCTAGAGATGCAACCTGTGAGTTTTTTTTTTTATTATTGTGGTGATTAATTAGTTATATTACTTCCGCTTACTTTCTTTTTTGCTATATGCATCTATTTTGAATTTTTCTTATCTAAATTGTTTTTTGCGATGTTGTATCATGTGTCAACTAGAAGTATTGATGATATTCAACAGACATGTAACTTATACTTTCAGTTTAGTATTGTGTGATTTATACTTTCGGTTTAGTATTGTGCGCCGGAGTTTATAGTTTGTTTATTTCTTTCACTAGGTTTTGCTGCCTTGCCAGGATTCCAAATATTAGAGAATACTTCCAATATTTTACAGCTCATTCCAACCAAATGTTACTACTTGCCTATACCAAGAATTTGTGATTTCTGTGGAGCAAAAAAATTTCATAAAGAAAGTAAAGGTTTTTGCTATTGTGATGGGAATGTTAAACTAAAAATCAATGATGTACTTCCATAATTGCATTGTTTATTTACATCCAAATCTGACGTATCAATTGAATTTAGGACTTATATTCGAAGTTACAATTGTAATTATTCTTTTACTTCATTTGGTGTAAAGTATGATAAAGACTTATGCCAAAGGAATAAAGGAATATATACTTTTAGAATTCAATGACAAATATATCATTACCTAAATGAACTTCTTTCGATGGATTCCAGATCTTCTTATTTACAACTTATTTTTACGATACTGAAAATGAGATACAAAATCGCTTAAAATATCAGATAAGCTATCACTATCAATTGTTGAAAAATTAGTTCACATTTTAGAAATAAATCCATATGCAAAAAAATTTCGGGGTTTAACCAATGTTGCTGATTTGGAAAACCGTGAAATACAAATTGCATGTACTTTGGGTATGGATCAAAGGGTTTATAATACTTCGACAGTATCACAAGTTGCTGCAATTTGGGTAAATGACGAACCATCAAATTTTGGGATTCGTGATATATCTATTTATACTCATTCTGGTAGCAAGCATAGAGTAAATTATTATTTTGGATGTTATGAAAAATAAATTGTTACTTGATTTTAATTTCTTTATTCGGTTTGTTTATTATTAAGATTTATTTTGTTTCCTACATTTTCAGTTTTACACAAAAAGCAAAAACGATTGCAAGTGTCTTGTCGTGAATACTATTGCTATAAACTATAGATAAGATCATTGGATCCTTCCATATTACTACATGATGGTCGCCTTTTACAACAATATGTAGTTGACGTGTATGATTAGATTACTTCCGTAATAATCAAACATAAAAACGTAGTGAGCTTTACCAAGGAATTGTTGACAGTGTACAAAATGGTGAAGCCAGAGGTTCCAATGTAGGTCGAAGGATTATTTTGCCATCGTCATTCGTAGGTGGTCATAGGGATTTGAATAAAAGATACATGGATGCGATGACATTAGTTCAAAATTTTGGAAAATCCGACATCTTTTTAACAATTACATGCAATTTCAATTCGATTGAAATTGAGCAAGAATTAAAATATTGTGATGAAGTTCAAAATAGACGTGATTTGGTCTCTCGCATCTTTAGAGCAAAATTAGAAGAGTTGAAAAATGAT